ACAGTCAAAGGCTTTGGCGTAGTCAATAAAACAAAAGTAGAAGTTTTTCTGGAACTCTCTTCCTTTTTCTATGGTCCAGTGGATGTTGGCAATTTGACCTCTGGTTCCTTTGCCTTTTCTAAATCCAGCTTGAACATCTGGAAGTTCATGGCTCACATACTGTTGAAGCCTGGCTTGGAGAATTTTGAACATTACTTTGCTAGCATGTGAGATGAGTGCAATTGTGTGGTAGTTTGAACATTCTTTGGCATTGCCTTTCTTTAAGAGATAATTAAAATCACCTAAAAGATAGAGGAAACTTTACAGGATGAAGAGAATATTGGGTTAGAGCTAACTCTTATATCCCAGGTTGGCTGTGTACAACTGTGACCTTTATAACCAACCTGAATATTAATTTACTCATTTGCAAAATGAAGATAATTAAATCAATTTCCCTGAATTGTGGTGAACATTGAGGCAGTTATTTTATACAGAAGCACCCAGACAAGAATGATATTCAAAGCACTGAACATCTACTAAGAGTAAATGCTGATCGTAAGCAGCAGGCATGTCTGGACTGATGGTTGCCTGCTGCATCCCAGTCTTGAGCTGGCAACCTGATGGTTTTACAGCACGTGTGCAGCTAGTGCTGTTTGGAGTGGTCCTTGAGAACAGCACATGCAGAACAGGAATAATCCTGTGAGCCAGATACAGCCAAGATGGGGTCACATTTCATTTTGTGCAACATAGTTTTCACTTAGATGATTAGTAATCATTAGCATTTAGAAATAGATTTTCCTTAAGATTCCAGATATTCAGCTTTTCTTCTAAAGTCGAAAGATCCAACACAGATAAGCCTACCTTCCATCAACCCAATTAACAACTGCCCTCCCCCACATAGGGCCTGTACTTTTATTTTCTACAATTCTACATCATTCCTTACTACAGCCACAATGTCACACCAAATATAAGATTCCTTTTATTATTTTATTTTTTCTCTCATGTTTCTTTTGTGAAATTGAAGGAAAGTGAAATAACCCTGGGTCATTTCACTTGTTTATATAAACTGGTAAGCATTTAAGATAGAAGTTAGGTAGATTTGGGGTTGAATCTTAACTCTACTATTTGCTAATGGGGTTAAAGCTCCTTAACCTGCATGAGCCTCAGATCTATAAAATGCAAAGAAGAAAAATAAGAAGGAGGAGAGTGAGGGAGAGGAGCAGAAAGAGGAAGAAGAAGAGGAAGAAAGAAAACTCAGAGGAGTATCATATGAATTAAGTGAGATAATTGGTGTAAGTACTTAGCACTTTGTTAGCTGTCTATTACTCTGAGCTTTAGTTTCCACATATGAAGATGGGAGTGAAAATACTTACTTCACCAGGTTCTCATAAAGATAAAATCAGATAATGGGTATGAAAGTGCTTTGTGACCTACAGTGCACATTCCAGTCATGGCTGTGAAATCCTTCCCGTGGGGAAGTTTCCGTCCAGATCAGCCTGACTTTAGAATCAGAGTTCTGGATCCCATCATTCATTCCAACGGGGTCTCCAGATACCATTATTCTAAACTCAAGTGGGGTCATAGACTTTCAGAGGGTCAGAGCAACAAGGACCCAGAAATGATCTGGCCCCACCTGTTGTTCTGCAGGGAAGGAAAAACACCTAATCTCAGACTAGGCCTCTTTCACTACAACAGAGAAGTTGTAGTTTGGCCAAGGGGCTCTGAACTTGGGTAGCGTTGGTCTTGAAGGTAGTCAGGGAATCAATGAAAAGGCAAACCTGAAAACATAGTCCAGCTGTGTGACCACCAGAATGGGATTATCGAATCCTGCATTGATTTTTAAAAAGATGGCGGCAACCTGAAAAAAGCACAATAAATTTAGAGATATTTCATTGAGCACTTGTTATAAAACTGTCACTTGGGTAAGATATTTGACATACATTAAGTCTCTCAATCTTTAAAATAGCCATGCAGGACACATGTTATTTTCATAATTTCATAACTGGGAAAACAAAAGTTCAAAGAAATAGTAGTTTGTTATAGGTCACAAACTTGAAAATGGCAGAATCAGGATTCTAGTCAAGTTATCTAGAGATAGAGGCTTTAGGAAATATATATATATGTACATATACATATCATGTGTATGTACATACACATACATATACATATATATACATATAACATATATATGTATATATACATGATATGTATATGTACATATACACATAATGAAATGAAATTGCCTTGAGTTACAGATACACAGAGAGGCATTCTATGCTTTATTATACTATAAGACCCTTTTCAGGAGTTATTATCCTTTAGTATACTGGCTTGCTGAACCTTAAAAGAATTTACTGGAGTCTTAGTGATTCTTTAATCCTGAGAGGTAGTCCATAAATACTTGTCCTTTGTGTGCAAAGATGTATATTTTAACAGATCTAATACAGC